AATGCGTTATGTAAGTTGCTCTTCATTTCATTATGGCCATTCCCATTGCTCGCTGTCAATTATGTTTTTTTTTTTTCAGCGGGGCTCTTTGACCATGTCATTCTCGTTAGATGACCAAACCATCTCTTCTGTTCCTCTTTAATAACTGTACGACAGGTTTCCGTCACCGTCTTATTCTAATTTCCTCATTTTTAATGTTATCTTTAACTGTGATCCCAGCAGCTTTTCTAACGCATCGCAGCTCTATTGTTGTGCGGTTTACCTGCTTTCCTCTCAGTAGACTACTTTCTGTAGCACATTTATCTGAAACGCTTAGCTCACCTTAGAACAGGGAACAGAGTGCTTAATCATTTTTTCTTTTATTTGCTCTTAACCCTAAAATGTTCTAGTCTATGTCTATATAGCAGCGCTGTCCAGCGTTTATTGTTGGTGACACACTTTTTTAACAAATATATGTTGGCGCGATGAAACCTTCACACACAGTTGGACAGCTCTGCTGTGGAGCTGAATATGGTCTCAACAATAATACCTCAACTGGGAATAAAATAGCTCCTCCCTTTGCGAGCTGAATATAGTCTCAACCTGACTGCGTGACCTGGGAATTAGGCATAGAGAAGCACGTCTGTGCTCTGCTGTGAAGCAGCAGCACATGGTCTCAACGATACCTTCAACGACTGCTTGACCTGGGAATAAAGATTAATGAAACCACGTCTTTGCTGCCCTCGAGATCGTGATAGGAGAAGTGGTACCGTGAAATGTCATAGAAGGAAACAAGGACTGGAATTATATTGACCGCAACCCACCGAGTGTTGATGGGAATGCGAGCATATACGAATTATACAAATAAATAGGAATCTGCGAATAAGTACGAATATGTACGAACGTGTACGAATATGTACGAACATGTGCGAACATGTACGAACATGTACGTATCTGAACGAATGTGTAAGAAAATGTACGAATATTTACGTCAGATGCTCCCAGATATAGCTCCTCGGTCTACCAGGTCTAGCTTATAATTGGTATCAGGTAAAGCCCTGGAAAGTAAAAGCCGCCGGCGTAATGTTGACCACATCAGCCGCAAGGTATCGACTGGTCTAAAAAACTAGGCCTTTAGCGTAAAATACCTGATGCGTCCCATGCAGTAAAAGGGTTCTTTATGTTTTACTTATTGCTAATTTTTTGTTTTTTGCCATTTTTGTGTTTTAATGCTTAAATTTTATACACACACACACACACACAACACACACATATATATATATATATATATATATATATATATATATATATATATATATATATATATATATATATATATAAATATATATATATATATATATATTGAAGTAGTGTTAAATAAAATAAAAATGTGTAGATGTGGTTTATAGACGAATGATGAGAATACCCTGGACTGATAAGAAGGGTAATAAGGATGTCTTCAAAGAAAGTGACTCACGAAGAGAACTAATTGCTCACATCAGAAAGAGACAGTGTATACTCTTTGGTCATGTGATGTGAAGGAGAAAACTACAGTACATCGTGACAGTAGGAAAGTTGGAGGGGAGGAGAGGCAGAGGGAGACCGAGTGAAAAGATGCTAGACAGTGTAATATCATGGCATTGGGGATCATCTGTGCTGGAGTTGATTGAAAGTACACGAGACAGAAGGTTGTGGTTAGACATGACTACCAACGCCACACGGTTAAGAGGTCGATCCGTTTTTCTGCTGCATTTTTTAAACGCTCAGATGAATTGTCTAAAAGCCAGTCACTAGCCCAGTGGTTCTCGGTCTTCCTAATGTCGCGACCCCTCTAATACAATTCCTCATGTAGTGGCAACCCCCAACCATACCATTATTTTCACTGCTACTTCATAACTTCAATGAATATGTGTTTTGCGATGATCTTTGTGATGGTCTCCCCTTGAAAGGGTCGTTACCCACAGGTTGAGAACCACTGCGTCAAATAGTGATGATAAGGATGCTGGAGGCCGGCTTGTCTCTAGGCCAGTCAAGTGTTTCATGATCCCCTCAAAGGCCCACCCAGATAGTCAAATAAAACTGTGACATTTAAAGACCCACAGAGTGGATCCAAATGACATATGGATCCTTGTATCCAGGGATATCTATTCAGGGGCGTTTAATCCACTGTTTGCTAGGTGGGAAGTCAGTCCGATTTGAAAGTTTGGCCCTGCAGAATCTGGTCTATCTCTCTCAATGGGCCGCCATCGGCAGATCAAAGAAGCTCTCCACAATTTTGCTGTTTGCTTAAAACAATATTTAGCTATGCATCGAGCCGCCTGATGACGGGAGCAGCGGGGAGAAAGAAGTGTTTCAACAATTTGGCCAATGAGAGATTCCGAAACCCGACTCGTAGATATCAAAGATATGCTTGAGAATGCACAGTATTTGTAGTGATTTTCAGTCGTTCAAATATTGTACGTATAGCGTGCTTGTGTTGTATCAGTGTGCATGTGTGTGTGTTCTTTTTTATATATCGTTCAATTTCCTTCATTTACACCTCTCTCATGGCTCTATCTCTCTCACTCTTTCAAACACTCTCTATCCCTCTCTCTTAAAATGTCTGTGTCTCACAATACATCTTTTTATAAATCGTTCTTATGCTCTCTCTCTCTCTCTCTCTCTCTCTCTCTCTCTCTCTCTCCATCTCTCTCTCTCTTCTCTCTCTCTCCATATGCTCTCTCTCTCTCATGTTTTACTATATGTGTGTCTATGTGCTTGCGCCCCGCGTGTGTGAGTGTGTATGTGTGTGCGTGTGTGTGTATGACATGTTCTCCCACTGTCCTCCCTCTGTCATTTACTATATAGATTCCTTTAATCTATGTTTCTTTTTTTTTTCTTATTCTACTACTACTACTACTACTACTACTACTACTACTACTACTACTACTACTACTACTACTACTACTACTATTACTACTACTACTACTATTACTACTACTACTACTACTACTACTACTACTACTACCACTCTACTACTACTACTAAAACTACTACTACTGTTACTACTACTAATATTATTAATAATACTTTTTCTCTTCTTCTTCTTCTTCTTCCTTCTTCTTCTTCTTCCTTTTTCTTCTTCTTTTTTCTCACCTTTACCCCCCTAGTGCGGCACAGACCATCACCTTATACCACGTGGCCCTTGTTCTGTGCCAAACCGTGCAGCTCACACCACGTTGCCCAGATATGAATACTCTAGTACCGGTATTCAGCAAACTTCAATCGGTTGCAGTCTGTCTTAATCCGCATGTCCTCAAACTCTACAGCCTTCTGTGCTGCGCTGAGATTCCCCGTCCATTCTTTAGGTTGAGACTCAGACATTTGTGAGGATATACGTGGGAAATTACTTTTATCGCCTTCAGAAAACTAAATATAAAATCATTAACTAAAGTGTTATTAAAATAACTAATAACACATTAAAAAAAAACTCCGTGGAATGAAATTAGATGAACTTACGAGATGAAATAAATGTATATCTGGATTTAAAATCAGTGGAGAGTCCTTTCCGCAATAAATGTCGACTACAATTTATCCAGTCTATAGAAATAATACCATGTAAGGTCCCAATCTCTTGCACAGTACGACTCTCGTAAAACTGTCTGCAAAACACCGAGCAGCGGAAATCGTACCCTAGTATTCAAGGAACATACAATTGTTAACCGCATTCACTAGCCTCAAAGGCACGAGCCGCAATGCTTTGATTCACCGAAAGTATAAAGCACGAATCAAGTTTGATTTTCCCTTTGAAATTGCAACGTAAAAGTGAACAGATAATATTTTGCGCTTGTTTCAGTCATGTATGACATCCGATGAAGTTATTGATTGTTTATTTTTGTTCCTTTTTGGGGGAGGGGGAGGGGGGGGGGGGGGGGGGGGGTCAACACTAAATATCCATTGCGCTGTCTACACTTCTCATACTTCCAACATATCTAAACATAGCAACATGCCAATATGGCTACCATCTCGTCTGCTTGGCGCTGCCAGTGATAAAAATGGCAGAAACAACCTTAAACTAAATTCCAAGAGTCAGTTACCTTCACGAAAGAGATCTCTTCGATTTCCTGTCCACTGTAAGAATGTCTAGAGATGTTTTCTTTTTTTCGCAATTTGTTGTTAAAAGCTGCTTTCCTCAGAGACATGGCCCACCTTCTGTGGTAACTTTCCACATTGTTTTCCTCGAGAGCTTAACCAGGCATGTCTGCGAGGTCCCGACACTTGTTGTGTTGTGGTTAACTCCCCTGCTGGACAAATCTTCCTCAAACACAAACCAAATTCCAACCAAAATCTCTGCATGTTTGGCTGGCAAAGGCTGCGAAAACTGGTGTTTTGTGGCTTTGGTTAGATGTAACTTTCTGAGCCAAAGTCAGTCTCAGTTTTCAGTCCATGTCTTAGAAAGGATTTGATATTTTGACTGGAAAGCTGTGAAAGACAAACGACTTAAGTCGCCATTTTTGCTGTTCTTTGGTTTGGCAGTGAGAAGTTTGCAAAAGGACGACATTGTACCGGAAATATGTCATAGCGACGGTAGTGCTCAAGGCGTCGATAACACGAGTGTCCAATTAGATAACACATAGGGACTCATCTTTTTTTTTTTTTACGTCTTCCAGTGACCCCACCATTCACCCCCCCCCCCCCCCCTCCATTTATTTTAATAGTCGTAAGTAAAAAACAATAAATCCCCTTGTGCGAATATTGTAGGGGTAACCTGTGGCGCCCCTTCTCCAGAAATGGGCAAGAGGAGCAAATCCCCCCCCCCCCCCCCCGCACGCCTTTCCCTCCTGCAATCCATAAACATAAATTGTCTTTTTAGTATATATTTCCTTTCTAAATGCATATAATATTTTTGTTATTTTTATTTTTGCACACCTAAACTAGGCTTAAACTCGTTTAGATGCTCCCTCTTTTTTTTCTGCTCTAGTGAAACATGTCAAGGGGCTGCGGAGTGTAAACAAATGTTGCTTTTTTATGTCCATTTTCAGAGATCTATCAGACGTAATCGACAATACATATGCAAATCTAGAGGCCAGGGGTCATGCCCGGTCGATAAAACTCACAGGAACCAGTGCAGGGCATGCCGCTTGAAGAAATGTGTGGAAGCGGGGATGAACAAAGACGGTGAGTTACACATATGTGTGTGTATGTGTGTGTATGTGTGTGCATGTATATGTTGGTGTGTATGTGTGTGTGTATATGTGTGTGTCCTGTGTGTGTTTAGATGTGCATGTATATGAATGTGTATATATGTGTGCGCATCTCTTTTTTCTAACTTTTTCACCATCTCTCCTCGTGTGTGCGTGTATGTGTTTCTCTGTTGGTGAGGAAGGTGGGAGTCTCTGTTGGCGAGGAGGGTGGGAGGGGGGGAGGTAGCAAGCCAACCAGTAAACTAACAAACAACCAACCAACATGATAGCCAGCAAACAAAGAAACCAACTAGCTAACCAGTCAACATTTGTCTTCTGCTTTTTCTTGGCGTTCTTGGGCTGCGAACTCTGGCGGAAAGTTCTGGTTGTTCGTCAACTCCTGGACTTTGGTCTTGTTCCAGAACTTGGGTGTTGCGTCCCTGTCCTGTTTACAAATCTGAATTTGTGTGTGGGCTTTTGGTTCCTCGCCTCTCATGTAGATGCACTCCGACTTCGAAAAAACAATTTCGTCTAGATACTTGTTGTTTGTCAGGGGTGAGGGTAGTGGTGGGTCAATCACCCCCCCCCCCCCCCAATACCACCTATCCTCAAATTGGACCCTCCCCCGTGTGGGTTCCGGGGCCCCATTGTAGGGAAAACAAGAATAGACCCACTGCCTATCCAAAAGCATGTCGTAAGAGTCGACTAATTGGGAAGCTTCTTTTGAAGTCGGAGTGCATCTGCCGGAGAGGCAAGGAACCAACAGTCTGTATTCAAGAGAATGAGATCTGTAAAACTAATGCACACGCAACACTCAGGTTCTGGAGCAGGACTGCAGTTCAGTAGTGGAAGAGCAACCAGAACTTTCCGCCAGAGTGTACAGCTGGTGAACGCGAAGAAGAAGAAGAAGAAGAAGAAGAAGAAGAAGAAGAAGAAGAAGAAGAAGAAGAAGAAGAAGAAGAAGAAGAAGAAGAAGAAGAAGAAGAAGAAGAAGAAGAAGAAGAAGAAGAAGAAGAAGAAGAAGAAGAAGAAGAAGAAGAAGAAGTAGAAGAAGAAGAAGAAGAAGAAGAAGAAGAAGAAGAAGAAGAAGAAGAAGAAGAAGAAGAAGAAGAAGAAGAAGAAGAAGAAGAAGAAGAAGAAATTGGACCCTGAAACACAGAGACTGTACACTAATTTATTAAGCGTCTCGAGTATTCCATCCGTATTAAACAAACAAGCGATTGAAACGATCAGAGATATCAGTTAACTGACACAGTGTCATCATTTCAATTATCACTGACAAGCCACACTGTCATCCCCCGTCCGGACAACCCCCAACAGCAACTGCTGTTTGTACAGCCTTGACATCGTGTGAAAGAGCCATTGATCAGCTCATTACAGCAATTACCTGTCTATTCGCCAACGTTCGCCCGAGTCTTGAGACAATCGTTGTGTATACAATAAATTAAGACAATTGATTCCTTTTTTTTTTACCGAAACGCTTGGTGAGATCTGACAGCTGATGTGACAAAGCACATCGTTTAATTTATGCATTCCTACGTTGTCTTTCTCTCTCCAGCTCTGCGTACTTTTCTTCTTCGTCATCTTCTTACTTTCTTTCTTTCTTTTTTCTTTCTTTCTTTCTTGACCATTGCGGTCAAGGATGAGCTGCAATTCTGGCGTTGGACTGTTAGTGGTTTACACCTAACAGCTGCCTTATGCATTTTAACTTTGCGTGTGAATGCTTCAAGATTTTGCTACGACTGACAAGTTTTTTACTAGTTTTCAATGGGACAGCGAAGGAATGTTTGTGCGATTTCTATTAACACAGGAATTTAGCAGTTATTGGGGTGACCCATCTGCGGTGATTTTCGAACCTCGATTAACTAGCTGAGTACCTTAAATTTCGCTTAAGCCCGATAGGATCCCATGAAGCGAGTGTCTTACTGATGTCAAAATCGTCAGGTTGTCTATCGTGAGATGGAGCAAATGAAAAAAAAAAAAAAACTGTTATCTGACACATATTGGAGACATGCCATCTGAATTAGATCGAGTACATGAACTGACAACTTATTCCCATATCCCAAGTCAGGGACAGAAGGTCTGCTCTTGCTTGATACAAAATAACAATCCAGGGGAAGTAACTTGAGGACCTAGCGGGATCAAAACTGGTCACCCGAACATATTAGCCAATTACGGAGCACCATTGTGCTCCTTCTTGTTGGAAACAAGCCGTCATCGTTTGCTGTCTCTCATTTTTCCCGCCCTGGGCACGTATGGTGGAGCTTCGGGTGATCAGTTACACATTAAGACGTGGATTTTCTCCCTTTGACGCCCAGAATGAAGTGATCGACAGGCCATATGGGAAATTTGAGAAATGGTTCTGCTTTTGGCCGCGATAATTGCTAAATCGGGACAAACGTTGATATCTCACACATTGATACCTTTCCATTCTCTTCTCTTTTGCGTCTGTTACTTTTCTTTCTTTCCAAATGTTAGCTCCGGGATTTGGATTTCGCTGGAAATTCGGTTCTTAACACGTCACGATGTGCATCTGAAAGCTGCAACAAAGAGGCAGAGGATATTCAACACTCGGTTCTGGCTCAAATTTAAACGAAATCCGTGGGTGGTGTAGGGGTAATCAAGTATCATTGCTTGGTGGGCTGCCTTGGTTCTTTTTCTTGGTTCTTAGTCGAAGTGTTGGCTGTGAGAAACCTTAAGCATGTGACAGAAACGAAAAATGTTTTCTGTTTCTTGTAGATTCGTTCTTAGAAGAACGATTATTATCTTGTGTTGTAGTTTACAGCTAGGCTGCACAATCTGCGCTTTTCGGCACAAGACAACAGCCTCGCCTCCATCTACTTGTATTAAATTATTTCCAACTGGGTTACAGATAAAATATACAAATTTGCGGGACATCAGGAGCCTCTCTTGGCAGTGGTGAAACGTCGCAAGCTAACTTGGTTCAGGCACGTGGTGAGACATGATTCGATTGCAAAGACTGTATTTTAAGGAACATTGAGGGTAAAAGTGGGGGGGGGGGGGTTGGTTGGAGGGGTAATCGAGGGAAAAGAAGATCTTGTAATTAAAACATCAAGAAATTGACAGGACTAAATTATCATACACTTATTCATCAAGCAGAAGACAGAGAAAGGTGGCGGGTATTATGAGCTGGTGCTTCAATCGATACACCTCCACAACCCTGATGTGTCAAGGGCTATGTTATTTTATGTTATTGAATTAGAGATAACAAAAGTGTCTTTGCTTAATCAGGATGTTCCAGAAGTTTCCGTACACATAAAGATAAGCAAATTCTTTTTGTGATAACCATATTTATTTGCATTACATGGTCATCGTGTCTGTCTATCCGTTCGTGGGGAAAAATCGAAAACTTGCCTTTAAGTAACTATATTATGTTCCTGTCTGTCTGTCTGTCTGTCTGTCTGTCTGTCTGTCTGTCTGTCTGTCTGTCTGTCTGTCTGTCTGTCTGTCTGTCTGTCTGTCTGTCTGTCTGTCTGTCTGTCTGTCTGTCTGTCTGTCTGTCTGTCTGTCTGTCTGTCTGTCAATCTGTCTGTCAATCTGTCTGTCTGTCTGTCTGTCTGTCTGTCTGTCTGTCTGTCTGTCTGTCTGTCTGTCTGTCTGTCTGTCTGTCTGTCTGTCTGTCTGTCTGTCTGTCTGTCTGTCTGTCTGTCTGTCTGTCTGTCTGTCTGTCTGTCTGTCTGTCCCTGTCTGCCTGTCTGTCTGTCTGTCTGTCTGTCTGTCTGTCTGTCTGTCTGTCTGTCTGTCTGTCTGTCTGTCTGTCTGTCTGTCTGTCTGTCTGTCTGTCTGATGTATGTCTGTCTGTCTGTCTGTCTTTCTGCCTGTCTGTCTGTCTGTCAGGAGAGATCAGACACTTACTTTTAAGCAACTATATTATGTCCCTGTCTGTCTATCTGTCTGTCTGTCTGTCTGTCTGTCTGTCTGTCTGTCTGTCTGTCTGTCTGTCTGTCTGTCTGTCTGTCTGTCTGTCTGTCTGTCTGTCTGTCTGTCTGTCTGTCTGTCTGTCTGTCTGTCTGTCTGTCTGTCTGTCTGTCTGTCTGTCTGTCTGTCAGGAGAGATCAGACACTTGCCTTTAAGCAACTATATTATGTCCCTGTCTGTCTATCCGGCAGCTGTTCAACACGAAAGAGGCCCTAGAAATTCCACTATTCGGCGCCAGGTGGCCATGTACCTAAAAGAGTCTTCGGAGTACGGTGGAGTCTTAGCTGCTGGACCGTTCAGGTAAATACTTCACACCTAAGACACACTCGGCTGTTTCCTTTCATTGTTTTGATACCAAACAATTATCTATAAGATCAATAATAGTAACACGTTTATGTCTGTTTGTGTGTGTGTGTTTGTGTGCATGTGTCAGTATATGAGAGAGAAAGAGAGAAAGAGAGAGAGAAGAGAGAGAGAGAGAGATAGTTGGCTGGTTGGTTAGTTAGTAAATAAGTTAGTTGTTTTGCTAGTTACCTAGTTAGCCCGTTAGTTATTTAGTTGGTTGGTTAGTTAGTTAGTTAGCTAGTCAGCCAGTCAGTCAGTCATTTAGGCAGTCAGTCAGTCAGGCAGTGAATGAGTCAATCAGTCAGCTTTGAAGATGAGTCGGGTGTGAACCTTGGTATGTGCTACATGGATGCTGGTATTTAAGGCCTCGAATATTTCATCATTCCACGGCTTGCATGGCCCACCTCTAGCTCTGGTTCCCTTATGTTTGTGCTGCACTGTCTAGCTGTAGTCTCGACATATGTCCGAACCATTTGATCTGGTGTCTCTTGATGTAGTTAAGTATTGGTTCTGCCCCAACTTCATTGCTGAAATTGTCAATGTCGATCTTGTCTCGACTAGTTAAATTTAAAATTCCTCGTAGAAATTGCGTTTCAGTACTAGTATTCACATCTTTAACTACTAAACAACAGGTTATAAACAGCATAGTTATACCCACATTGTGCTACCAATGCCAGACTTGAACATTACCAATGGCTAACCTACGTGAAATAAGCACTTGTGAAATGAGATGCCTGAGAAAAGCCGCCAACTTAACCATTCGAGACAAAGTTAGAAATGATATTATCAGACAGACTGTGGGAACAACACCATGCAGCAGATTCATTGAGAGACAGAAGATCGAATGGTTTGGTCATCTAAAAAGAAAGCAGACATAACAACTACCACCACAGGCGCTTCGTGAAGAAACGATCTGGAGTGATATCAAGAGGTTGATCTGGGAGTCATGGATTGATGACATTAAAGAGCTGATGCATCAGCGGTTCTCAGCCTGTGGGTCACGACCCTTTTGTGGGTCGAACGACCCTTTTACAGGGGTCGTCAGTGACCATCGGAAAACATATTCACTGATTTTATGAAGTAGCTACAAAAATAGTTGTATGGTTGGGGGTCGCCACAGCATGAGGAATTGTATTAAAGGGTCGTAGCATCATGAAGTTTGAGAACCCCTGTTAATACACTGAATGATAATAGTTATTGCTTCTTATCAAGTAATGCATAGCAAACTGTTCCTCCCCAAGACGCTAAACGACAGAAGTGGAAACATGATGATGATGATAACAACTAGTGATTGCCAACCACTGACACTATTCTAGAATGTGTTTCATTATCATAACGTGATTTGTGACTGAAAAGAAATGTACATTTAACAGAGAAAAGGAGGTTAAAACTGACGCAATCAAGACACCTAACACAAAGCTTTTTGTCTGGTATCATTTCAGACCTCCATTTTTTCCGTCTTCATATGTGAGCTACGATTCGCTAACAGATGGTGTCACCGTGACAGCCGTTGAACCGCCCACATCGATAGCCACGCCCCCGGCAGGAGTTCTCATGCATCTTGTTCCTAAGGTAAGTTTTCGTGGAGTTACGACAGACTTGGGTGGGGGCAGGCATTCTAAAATACTGCACTATGGCTTATGCCAATCGTTGTGTGTGCGTGTGTTTGCATGGCGTGTGAGTGTGCGTTTGTGTGCGCGGGCGTGTGTATGCAATTGTATGCGGGGAAAAAAACCTCTTGCCAAAGCAGTCACCACTTAGACCAGAATAAGGATTTCCCTTACTATTGATAACATTCTTGTTTTATAATAGTTACAATCAAAACAATACTCACTACTATTACTACTTACTATGACTACTACTACCGTTCCCCGTGTGGATTCCTCATTTTCGTAGTTAGAGGAATAAACCTACCCCCCCCCCCCCTCTCCCCCCCACCCCTCTTCCCAACAAGCCTGTTGTAAAAGTCGACTAATTAGAGATGTTTGCTTTGAGGCTAGAGGACATCTGACTTGAGAGGAGAGAAACGCACAGTCTGCATACAAATAAATCAGACCTGTGAAACGGATGCGCACGCAAAACTCAATTCTGGAACAACACCAAAGTCCAGAAGCGGACGAACAATCAGAACTGTGCTTTTGGAGCTTACAGCCGGTAAATGTGAAGATGAAGAAGAGTACTGCAGCTATTGTAACAAACCTTACTCTTAATTGTGATACTATTAATTATAGTATTACGTTCAATACTTCAACAACCATTACTCTACCACCATTAATACTAGTATTATCATAACCATTCCCACTACAACTACTATAACTACTACTACTTCTACTGCTACAGATACTGCTGCTGCTGCTGCTGTTGCTGGCTGCTGCTATAAGTACTAGTACTATACATATTACTGCTACTATTACTACCGTTGCTGCTTCTGCTATTACAACCACCACTACTACTTCTAGTACTGCTACTACTAGTACCACTGCTACTACTAGTACAACTACTACTAATAACAGTACAATTTTTAGTACTACTATTACTACTACCACCAACACTTCTAGTACTGCTACTATTACTACCACTAATATTTCTACTACTACTACTACTACTACTACTACTACTACTACTACTACTACTACTACTACTACTACTACTACTACTACTACTACTACTACTACTACTACTACTACCTCTTCTACTTCTAGTACTACTACAACCAATACTACTTCTAGTACTGCTACTACGACTACCACTACTCCTTCCAGTACTGGTACTAGTAGCTCTACTACAACCACTGCTTCTCCTAGTACTGCTCCTGCTACTGTCATTACCACCACCACCATTACTTTCATTGCTACTACAGTCAGTACTGATACTATTCCTCTAGCTACAATATGAAGTGCACCACCACCAACAACAACAACAACACTAAAAGCAAAGACTAAAACAATTATCACTCTCGCCAACTGTGGTTGGAATAGGCCAGATTGTGTCTCTGTTGGCATCATACAGTGTTGGGGCGCATGCTCGGAACTGTTGGCATCATACAGTGTTGGGGCGCATGCTCAGAACTGTTGGCATCATACAGTGTTGGGGCGCATGCTCAGAACTGTTGGCATCATACAGTGTTGGGGCGCATGCTCAGAACTGTTGCCATCATACAGTGTTGGGGCACAGGCTCAGAACTGTTGGCATCATACAGTGTTGGGGCACAGGCTCAGAACTGTTGGCATCATACAGTGTTGGGGCACAGGCTCAGAACTGTTGCCATCATACAGTGTTGGGGCGCATGCTCAGAACTGTTGGCATCATACAGTGTTCGGGCGCATGCTCAGAACTGTTGGCATCATACAGTGTTGGGGCGCATGCTCGGAACTGTTGGCACCATACAGTGTTGGGGCGCATGCTCAGAACTGTTGCCATGATACAGTGTTGGGGCGCATGCTCAGAACTGTTGGCATCATACAGTGTTGGGGCACAGGCTCGGAACTGTTGGCATCATACAGTGTTGGGGCACAGGCTCGGAACTGTTGGCATCATACAGTGTTGGGGCACAGGCTCGGAACTGCCTAGTGTCACGTTGCAGGGACATATCTCTGTGTTTCTTATACCAGAAAAATGTGAAGATATGTTGGTCAAGTCTGTTGCTACATGCAACGGATTTGACAAGCAATCAGGGAACAAGTCCAAAGTCCAGAAGTGGGCGAACAACCAAGACATGCCACCTGAGTTTACAGACGGTAAAGGCAGAAAAGACCAGAAAGTTGCTATTATTAATGCCATCGCAATAGTTATATTGACCTACATCATCATCACCATCATGTTACAGTACCCACAGGAGATGCTGCCCAACTACCCCAGCAGCCCTGACGCCATCTGCGAGGCAGCCGCTCGGCTTTTATTCATGAGCATCAAATGGACCAAGACGGTGCCAGCATTCGTGGCGCTGCCTTTCAGGGACCAGGTGCTGCTTCTGGAGGAGAGCTGGCGGGAGCTCTTCGTGCTTGGCGCAGCCCAGTTCCAGATCCCACTTGAAGCCGGGCCTTTGTTAGCGGCAGCAGGTATGTAAGCTCTGTTGTGTCTGCTTGTGAGACTGTTTGTTTGAAACTACTGTTGTTGTTTTTTTTTATATTTAGGAGACACGCATTAGTTTGAAGCTGCGTGTGTTGTTGAGCTGCCGTAGCAGCAGCAGAAGTAACGATAGCAGAATTAGCAGCAGTGTCAGCAATAGTGGCAGTAGTACCAACAATAGTACTAGTTGCAGAAGTAGTATTTTAGTTTTAGCAGCGGCAGTAGCGACGGCTCCAGCAGTAACAGTATTAACAGTAGTAGCAGCAGTAGTGGCAGCAGCAACAGTAGGAGCAGCAGCAACAGTAGGAGCAGCAGCAACAGTAGGAGCAGCAGCAACAGTATTAGTATCATGTATGCCAGTTTGATAGATAATACCCTGGACAGATAAAAAGAGCAATGAAGACGTCTTGAAAAAAGCTGGCTCGCGAAGAGAACTGATTGCCCACAGCAGAAAGAGACAATCTACATTTTGTGGTCATGTGATGAGAAGGAGAAAACTGGGCTACCTCGTGACTGTAGAAAAGTTGGAGGGGAAGAGAAGCAAAAGGAGACCGAGAGAAAAGACGCTGGACAGTTTGTCATCTTGGCATGGAGGATTATCTGCGTCTGAGTTGATCAAAATAACACAAGACAGAAGGTTATAGATAGACATGACAACCAACGCCACACGGCATAGACTTTCATCAGAAGAAGAAGAAGAAGATGTTGTGATATAGGAACAGGAACGGTCCGAAGGAAAGAATTCATATAATATCATTTATCGTTTGTTTCTAACTAGTTCTGAATTGCAGACGAAGATTGTAAAGGTGATGAGCAAGGAACGTTCAATCCCGCCACGGCCGCACAGCGAGGGACAAACACCCAGTGACACAAACCGCCACTGTTCGGATGATAATTTTCCGGGGCAGAAGTCCCAGAAATCTCGTTCAACTGGTAGGCTTATATAAGGGCTCAGTACCATAGCCAGGATGAGGCTCTGAAAACGTTATGATGGCGATCACGACAACAATGATGATGATGACGATGATGATAAATTTGTTTTTCAAAGAATGTATATATGTATATATGTATACTACAGTACAAACCGTTTGATATAACACGTCTCATCCTGTTTTTCCCATAATTTCCAGGAATGACCATTGACCAGAACGCCACAGACACAGTGCTGACCATGATGAGTGAGATTCGGGCCCTCCAAGAGACCATCGCAAAGTTCAAGGTCCTTCAAGTTGACCCTACGGAGTACGTCTGTCTCAAGGGCATCGTTTTATTTAAAACAGGTAGGTCATAACCTGATGTGTCCCAACATTGAATTACTGTTTCCTTCCTGGGTAGATGACCTGGCGAGGCGATGACACTTCATCACAAACATCATAAAAATAGTACAGTAGCAGCAACAGCGGCAGTAGTAGTAGTGGTAGCGTCATCGTCAGAAGTAGTAGCAGTAAATATAGCTGGAGAAGTAGCATTAAAAGTAGTAGTAGCAGCAGCAGTAGTAGTTTAAGTAGTAGTAGTAGTGGTGATTGTGATGGTGGTGGTGGTGGTGGTGGTAGTAGTAACATTATTTGTTGTTTTTCTTTTGTGTTGTTGTAGCTGCTGTAGCAGCAGCAACAATAGCGATAGCAGAGTTAGCAGCAGTGGCAGCAGTAGTGGCAGTAGTACAAATAATAGTACTAGTTGCAGAAGTAATATTTTAGTTTTAGCAGCGGCAGTAGCAACGGCTCCAGCAGTAACAGTACTAACAGTGGTAGCAGCAGCAGTGGCAGCAGCAACAGAATGAGAGCAGCTGTAGCAATACAAGTATGCCAGTTTAATTTGAGTATCTATGAATATGAATCTGACGTGTATCCATTCTGTCCTCTGTCTAGTATTCGCCAATAGCTCCGGAGAGATGAAGACCTTAAGGGAGTTCCACTCGGTGGCCACGTTACAGGACCAGGCACAGCTGACCCTCAACCAATACATTAAGGACGGCCTACCCCACACAACCTTTCAGGTAAGTCCACCAAAACAAATAAAAGAAGTGCAAAAGATGGGGACGAGAAAAGATAGGAAATTGTAAGAGAAAAAAAAACATCAAGTATATGTTAGCTTGACAAAACCACTTGCAATAAACAAACAATGGGCGCTTCTGCGATTAGCCTTCATCAGCAGAACAGGACGAGAAATCAGATCCAGCACAACACACACGCACAGGTGGGTAATGTGGTCAGCATTACGCCAGCCGTCTTTACTTCCCCAAGACAGCCATCCTGGTAACCATTTTAGGCTTGGTCATACCATACCATGATAAAAATGCACGCAGCCAGCAGTGGGTTTCGTTCGCGGTATGTTGGAATTACAAGTCGGCTTCTGAATAATAAAAAAGAACAGAAATGAAGCAAGTTAAACAGACAGTTACGCGCCATCAGTATACTTTTTGTTGTCATCACCGTCAACATTATAAGCAATAATAACATTATTATTTGACGCCTTGACTTTACTTATTGTTATTTCATCATTACAATATTCATCGTCCTTATAATCATTGTCCTCATCGTCATTATCGTTACTTTTACTATAATCGTCAATTTTTTTTCATCATCATTATTATCCTGTTGCGCCATTACGTGTCACATAGGGCTCGCAGTCTATTCCTGCATTCTGTTTCATCCTGTGTAATCCTTTCGATAATATGGTTGCAATCTAGTGCAGCTGATTTGACCTCTCTTTTCAACGTTCGTTTTCAGGCTTTTTGTTTTGTTTTGTTTTTGTTTTTTGGAACGTCCATTTTTAACGGAATGTCATCGTTTCCAGCAAGTTTTTGTAGCACACATTAACACACAAACACACACACACACACAAACACATAAAACACACACACACACATGAACACACACACACACAAACCACACACACACATAAATACACACATCAACACACACACACATCAACTCACACGCGTATCATCACACACACATCAACACACACACATATCAACACACACACGTATCATCACACACACATTTATATCTACACATACACACACATCAAAACACACACTGAAAAATTCACACACACCAAGACACACACACATCAACACACAGACACACACATCAACACAAACACAAATATCAACACATACACACACACACACCAGCACACACAAACATCAACACACACACCACACATCAACACACACAAACACACACACACCAACAAACACAAACATGAACACACACACACACACACATGAACACACACGCACATCAACACACACACATACACACATATCAACATACACACACATCAACATACACACACATCAAAATACACACAACACCTACACACACACACATCAAAACACACACACATTAAAACACACACACTACATACACACAAACACATACACACACACAATATTTTACCAAGCGGGGGAGCTGGCCCCACACACAACCCTCCTCCTTTCCCATCGCGATTTGGGACTGGCAATGGCGAAGATACAATTTATTTAACTTTTTTAAAAACCTAATATTAGTACTTTACTCCGGACGGATGTGGAAATTTTTTTTGTTTTTTTCAACAGTTGATCTTAGCTTCCAAGTCGACCTAACCTAAAAGGGGTAAAGGGTAGTGTCCTAGGAAGTAAAGGCTGCCAGGGCGATTGGTGTACACAAATATGAGTTTATCATTGCAGCATGACAGGATCCTTTACTTTACTTATTTATTACTATCTCTAATGGCATCAGTCATGGACATTTGGACGACGGGTGGGAAATAACGTGGAAGCTGCAAAGATAGGCTTCAATAGATGAATGATAAGAATACCATGGACATATTTAAAAACATCATCACAATAAAAGAGTTATGATGATGTCTTGAAAGAAATTGACACATGAATAAAACGGACTGCCCATATCAGAAGGAGGCGATTATATTTTTAGATCATGATATGGGATGGAGAAAACTGGAGTAGATCGTGACAGTAGGAAAGTTGAATGGGGAAAAGGAGCAGAGGAAAGATGTTGGACAGTTTGACATCATGGCGTGTGAGATTCATCTGTGCCGGAAAGTGATTGAACAAACACGAGACAGAAGGTTGTGCACAGACATGGCTACCAACGCCACACGGCAAAGACTATAAGAAAAAGAAGAAAAAAAATATCGTGATAATTTACAAGCCTGACTACTCTATTACCAGTAATTTGTAGTAATAGTAGAGGTTGTTGCAGCTGCAGTAGTAGTTGTTGTTGTTTGATGTTTTTGTAAATATGTTATAGTAGTTGTTGGTCCTGTTGTTGTAACAATTAACAAAAACAAGATCATATACTATTCAAGAAGCCCAACGATTAAACATCACGTTGTTGTCCTCAGGTTCGGCAAGTTGTTGCTACTTCTGCCGTCCTTGCGTGTGGTCAGTGGCATGACCATCGAAGAGCTCTTCTTCCGGAAAACAATCGGCAATATCCCCATAGAACGGCTACTGGTGGACATGTTTAAATCTGGTGACTTTTGAAAGACTGAACAATTACTTTCACCCCTGGAGATTCAATGTACCAGCTTCTAGAACTTTCATCATGGTGTATTTTCTAAGCACGCCCTTGGACACGCTGGTCAGTACAGAAATATTTATGATTGAAAGGGTTTTCTGATGGCTAAAGTGTAAACATGGAACTGCTCCACGGCGTATGAGAGAGGCATCCTGTTTAAACAGACATTTCTGATGTTTGAGTGATTTCCTACGTTTGACCGTCCCATTGTCACATCGTCATTGGAAGTCTGCAGGAGTGTTCTGGTTCTGTTCCAGTGATCGGTCTTTGATGTTTTGGGTGGTCCATCCAACAGCCGCACTACTGTAAGCATAGTTCTGGGAAAACGGAGGAAACACACACATGACGTTTATCACGACGACAGAACAGACCAGATAAAAGAGCTTCATTGCTGTTACTTGACTCCACGGAGATTTTACTGAAGATTCTCATCACTGTCTGTTTTTACTCCTAAAAGAGCAACTGGTTTTGGCAGTGTAGAGCAAGAGGGTTTTGAACCTGGGTATTAAGGGCTGCATGGCTAGTGCAGCTGACAGGAACAATACAGGTTAGGATGTTTACTTTCTGCCTGAGACAGAAAATAAAAATGTCTATAGCTTTACCGAGGATCCTTACCGGGGTCTCCTACAGGAAAGCTTAGCTTCTACCCAACCTGCCAACCTCAGATTCCCAGCACTAGATCATCAACTCTTTTCAGAAGATGTTGCAACTATGTTAAGCAAACAAACTGCAGGTACACAAGATTTCCAAGCACTACTAGATCATCACATCTTTCCACAAGATTTTTTTTTTCTTCGCCTGGACAGTATCTCCTCACCGGGAAACCACCTGGCTCTAAGTTTGAATGGCTCATGCCGTGATAATTACTCCACTGAGTTCGGGACCGATCCCGGCGCTTCTAGCCAGACAAAGTGCAACAGAGCTACACTTTGATCTTAAGCCAAAAGGTATCAACGTCTAGTAAATAAGTTGCGACTACACACGATTTCCCAGCGGTAGATCATCAAGTCTGCTGAGAAGATGTTGCTGTTGCCTCTACGTCTAGTAAATAAATTGTGACTACACAAGATTTCCAAGTATCAGGTCGCCAAATCTTAAACAAACTGCATCTACACAAGATTCTCCAAATGAATGATGAAGTGAAGAAAGACCCGACTATACAATTTGACTGAATAGTCAAGCCTGAAACACACACAAACGAAGTCCAATGAGAGATTAAAGCGATTGATCACACAGTCAACTGGTGGCCCAACAACACGCAGTGTTATTGGACTTGATGAATAATGAAATACTGAAAATAAAAATGCTCCCAAACTTCAAGTTGAAATACTTATTCAAGTTGAACTTAATGAACAAAGACAATGATGCTTCGGGTGCCATCTTTGGAGATATATATATGATCTTGCATACATCTTCGAAAGAAAACCAACTGACATGTTGCCTTCCAACAAATGTTGTTGGACTTTGCCCAAAGTAAAGACACAGCAACACATACTGTGAAATAAGTTGTGGCAAGCTAAACTAGAAATAATTCAACCGACATTTTCTGTTTGATTTTGACGAGCTCAACACTTGTCATAGACTTAAAAGCCTCTATACCAAATAGTTTTATCTGTTGATAAGAATATTATTTATCTTTATTGTTATCAAGTTCTTTCTCACATGATTAGGAATGCAAGAGACGGTTTATGGTGAGTAAAAGTTGATTGCGTACTCTCCCTTGAGTGTTGAGCGTCGGCCAGATCCCTTTAGTGTTGAGCGTCAGCCAGATTCCTTTAGTGTTGAGTGCCTGCCAGATCCCTTGAGTGCTGAGTGTCTGCCAGATCCCTTGAGTGTTGAGTGTCAGCCAGATCCCTTGAGTGCTGAGTGTCTGCCAGATCCCTTGAGTGCTGAGCGTCTGCCAGATCCCCTGGTCACTCCTCGTAGCGCCATTCCACTCAGACCGTGATGATATGTTTCTGCGTCAGCACTGTTTCACTCGCTCCTTAAGGACCAATAAATCATCAAGCTTGTCATGCATCTGTTTACACAAATTTGTGAAGAACCAGTCAGTTTATCTGCCTCATCGTTTCCCGCCACACCGGTAGAATTTATCTCTTTGTGGTTATCTTTGGTATATTTTAAGTTCAGTAGTTTTAGCCTTCCCCCCATCCCCCCTCCCTCCCCCTCTCCACCTTTGACAAAGTTCCCAACCAAAAAAAAAAAAAAATATTCAGGGTTTAAAGTTAGGGCATCGGCCCCATTAAAATTTTTAAGCACACTGATCAGGCTAATTTAAGTTTGCAATAATAATAATTATTGTTATTATTATTATTATTATCAGGGAGCCGCAGTGGAATAGCGGCTAGACGCTTTCCTCATCCTCGTGGTGGCACTTTGTGTCACTGGGTATTCATCGCTTGTGTGATGTCCTGTTGTGGAACAACCTACCTTACCTCCTCTCTCTCTCTCTCTCTCTCTCTCTCTCTCTCTCTCTCTCTCTCTCTCTCTCTCTCTCTCTCTCTCTCTCTCTCTCTCTTATCTGCCATTTTCTCTATAATCCTTTACCATCGCAGTCTGTTACTCCGCATTGTGCCAGTAATCAGTAGGGATTTTAAAAAGGGTTATGAATGTTATTGTCTCAAAAGCATAAACGCAAAATTACAAAATGTGAGATGAGCTGAAAAAGAAATGTGGAGACAAAAACTAGAACAGAAAGAGTCACCAATGGAGAACTAAGAACAATGGTGGGCACAGTGCTGGTAAATGATTTCATACAACATGAAAGAATCAAATGATTTGGTCATCTGTTCATAATGGAAGACAATCGGCCATCAGCTAGAGCGGGCTACATGAAAACAGCGGCACACAAGACGAGAGGCCGACCAAGACAGACATGGGTGGATGAAGTCAAAAAGACAGAGACGCGCAATATGACATTACCGCAAGCTACACAACTAGCAAAAGATATGAAACTGCACTAAACACCTCTCTGCGACACCTAAAGGCAAAAAGAAACAGGCGATCAATCTCATTGTTGGGTTTCGTTGCCCTGTCTTTGCTGCTTGCATCTTTGTTGTCTCCAAGGATTCGCCATAACACTGTTCTCAAACGTCTGTTGTCAGACCTTTCTCTTGTATTCCAGAATTCAGAGCCATATATGATAAATAGTCATGTCACAGTTGATACTGCCACGTGTTATTTTAAAATGGTTGCGACACTGGTTTTCTTAATATCCAAGTTGTTATTGTGCACTTATCGAATTCAAGTGGACGGAGAGGAGAAGAATTGTTGCGAGTGAGGTTTTTTGGCCAACCCTTGAAGCTTTGTTAGATAGCTTTGAAAATGTTTTGACTATGTATATATTGACTTGCCAGTTTGACGTTACTAATGATCATTTGTAAATAAAATTATTACCACTAGGAATTTTTGCTTGAAAACGTTTTTTTTTTTTTTAGCTAACTGTGTGTCTCTCTGTCGGCACTTTCCATAAGTCTGTCTGTCTGTCTGTCTGTCTGTCTGTCTGTCTGCCTGTCTGTCTGTCTGTCTGTCTGTCTGTCTGTCTGTCTGTCTGTCTGTCTGTCTGTCTGTCTGTCTGTCTGTTTTTAATATGGGCAGTACAGACTGTATTCTTTTAGATCTGAAACCGGAAATAGTGAAGAAGAAGAGAAAAAAGAAGAAGAAGAAAAAGAAGAAGACGAAGAAGAAGAAGAGAAGAAGAGAAGAAGAAGAGAAGAAGAAGAAGAAGAAGAAGAAGAAGAAGAAGAAGAAGAAGAAGAAGAAGAAGAAGAAGAAGAAGAAGAAGAAGAAGAAGAAGCAGAAAGAAGCAGAGAAGAAGCAGAAGAAGCAGAAGAAGAAGAAGAAGAAGAAGAAGAAGAATGAAGAAGACAGAAGAAGAAGAAGAAGAAGAAAGAAGAAGAAGAAGAAGAAGAAGAAGAAGAAGAAGAAGAAGAAGAAGAAGAAGAAGAAGAAGAAGAAGAAGAAGAAGAAGAAGAAGAAGAAGAAGAAGAAGAGCCCATTCTTCAGCCCAGTATGCTTTCAAATCTGAAGAATTTTCAATTACTTGTATCCACATTCGCGAAGGTCTGCCTCGGTCTCATGTTCTGGAAACTTTACCTCCCATCGCCGTTTTCTCCAGGCCACCATGACGTTTAAAAATAGCCAAAATAGCTCATCTTGCGGGACAGGATGCTGTTTGTGAGCCAATTCTCCTCGATCTTCCCATCATTTAGGATGTCGCTGTGTTTCTTTTTCTCGGTCCATGGTTTTCTTGAGACTATAGAACAAGTGTAATAAACAGCTTGGCAAAGATCGGCACTCATAGAAAGACTGCGAGGTCAAAGGTGCAGGTGGTCAACTGGATTCCGTCCATGATATCCGTGGATTCCCTCTATGATATCCGTGGATTCCCTTCATGATATCCGTGAATTCCCTCCACGATATCCCAGTGACTGCGCAGGGCAGAACGGAACGGAGAAACAGACTGCGAGCTCATGTGACATATAATGGCACAAAAAGACATTTAATGAATAAATGAATGAATGAACCACCCAAAAAAAAAAAACCCACCTTTTGCATAGTTATCTACGCCGCATTTTTATTAGCAAAAAAATCTTGTACTCGGGTATGTGAAAAGCAGTCTTAAATGTTGTTTACTGTCTACAGTGGACATGTGGGCATGCATTGGGTGGTTTTTTTTAATCGTTACAACGCAGTGGTCAATTATGTTCAAGACCATATTTGTGAGCATAGCTCATGATGCGCGCACTTGAGAGCAACACAGTTTGGTGTGCACACTAGTCACTGCCTGCGCAATTGAAACGATATAAAAGGATAACGCAACACTAAAACATTCAGTTCATTTTCTGGTTGTCGCGAATAGCAACTCTAACGATAAAGTTAAGAAAATTGCTATTGGCCGATTGCAGACAGGAGAAAGTCAAAGTCAGGTTGCCAGGCATCTAAACGTGCATCATACTACCATCAG